CTTAGGGAGTTTTCAGACTTCAAAGCTTGCAGATAGGACATTTTATTTCAATCTTTACCATCTAACCTTCCTCCTGGTTCTATTTACTGCATACCTTGAGCCTATCCACCTTTTACTTTTTTTCACGAAACTGTAATGCAAGTAGTCCTCAACTTACAACCACAATTGAGCCCCAAATTTCCATTGCTAAGCAAGAGTTGTTAAGTAAGTTTTGCCCCATTTTATGAGTGAATCACTGCAGTTATTAAGTTGGTAACACGGCTGATAAGTGAATCTGGCTTCCCCATTGACTTTGTTTGTCAAACGTTGCAAAAGGTGATCAACCGTCATAAATATTAGTCCTTTGCTAAGCATCTGAATTTTGAACACTTGACCACAAGAATGCTGCAAAGGTCGTAAGTGTGAAAATTGGTAATGAGTTACTTTTTTCAATGGTGTTTTGGTCACAAAACAAAAGATTTTAAGTCAAGGATTACTGGTATTTAAAATTTCTGTTTGGATTCCAGGCAATTCCCTATGACTCCTCTACAAAATTGTATTCCATTCCCATTTTGCACTGAAGTTCGCCTAATCTCTAGCAGTCAGTAGGTTTTACTTTGCCACTAAACACACAAAATCTTCTGCTTACAGAATCTGTTCCTTAGGATTTTATTTTTATCCATTTTTCCCTGGCTTTGGAACATCAGAAACAGAAAATATGGCTTATTTTATACATACAGTATATATAAAATCGGCCCAAAAACTGTTAAGAGTGAAAAGTTGTTTTACAGATGCCAGAGAAACAAGATTTATTCTGGGATTTTTTAAAAGATTACAGAAAGTGCTGAGATACATCCTTTGCATCTGATCTCAATAATCCAAAACTGAACACCAAAATCTTCTGTATGTTTCAAAGGATTCCAGATACATCTTTGAGGAGCTTGAAAAAAATGGTTTGAATCAATCCATCTTGCCCATTTGGGATAAACTAACAGGATACTCTAATTAGGAAACAGTGACCCTAGATATTTCTGAACCACTAACTTTCAAAAGCCCAACCAACATGTCTGACAATGAGGATGCTGGGAGTTGTAGTTTCATACAAAACATTCTGCTTACAAATAAGTACATCTCAGTTCAGGTTTCTTTTTCCTTCTGTTCAGTTGTGTCAGGTTCTCAGAGACTGCCTGGACAAATCTCTACAGTTCTCTTGGCAAAACTTTTTCAGAAATGACTTGCCCTTGCTTGCTTCCTAGACTTGAGAGAAAGTGACCGGCCTAAGGTCATTCAGCTGGCTTTGTGCCTAAGGCGGGATTAGAACTCATGATCTCTCAGTTTCTAGCCCGATGTCTTAGTCCAGGGGTGTCAAACTGCCGGCCTGCGGGCCGGATGCGTCACAGGGAAGCCGCACCCATCTCATTGCTGGCAATGGCAAAACCGGCCCAATACGTTGTGCAACGTCACGTGATGTCGCGAGTTTGACATGGCTGCCTTAGTCACTAGACCAAATTGGCTCTCTCAATACAATATACAAAATGCAATAAAGGGCTTCTACCCCAAAGGTGCTTTTTCTAAAAGGCAGCTGGACTTTGTGTTCTTTGTTTTGTTTTGTTTTGTTTTTTTAAAAAAAATTCACTTCTCATGCAAGAAGCTGCCTGCAAAACAAAACATTTTCAAAGGAAACAACAACAAAGTCCAATTGCCTTTTGGAAAAAATACTTTTGGGACAACCATGACCTGAACAATTGAGAATCTCCATAGGCTTCTATATATTGATGGTAGAGAACTGATTGATTGATTGATTGATTATCTGCCACAAATCATTGTCAGCTCTTAATGACCACAGAGATTTTCCCCATGATGATCTGCTCCTAACCTGGTCTTTCAGATTTTCTAATGCTGCACTGATTTCTACTGTAACTGAATCTCATCCTTCTTGCTGCTGTGCTCATCTTCTCTTCCCTTCCACTTTTCCCAGCACTAAAGCCTATTTCAGAGAATTATGTCCAAAGTAGGATAATTTCAGCCTGGTCATTTGTGCTGTGTGAAAACATTTTAACTAGTTATCTTCATCAGCAATATAGAGCTGTGTTTTTCGCATTGTGTTTTGCAGAACTTAATAGAGATTCCATTAAAGACTGTGAGGAGTGAGGTTTATTTGAATAAAGTCAGTATTTTATACTTACAGCTTTACCTCTTTAACAAAGGTCCCGAGATTATTATTTTTTAACTAACAGATTTTATGGCTTGAAAAAGTTTGAAAAACTGGTATAGTTCCATAGTATAACTCAGTGTTTCTCAACCTTGGCAATGGGTTACTTGGAGAATTCTGGGATTTGAAGCCAACATCTTAAAGTTGCCAAGGTTGAGAAATACTGGGATAACTTGATCCAGACTTTAACAGCACATATATCAAATGATGGAAATGTCCTGACTTTAAAGACAGGAATGACAAGGAGGCCCTAACTGCATATTAGTTCTCTTACATGAATGCTTAAGAATGAAAGATTTCTTTGATCGTCTCAAACTTGTTGGAAACTTATTAAGGGTAATTTCTGTTTTAATTTCTCCTCAGCAAACTCCCAGTTAATTTCTATACTGTAACCAAATCAGAGTAAACATGCATGTTGCTCAGCACAACTAGCTAAAAATAACTAGCTGGATGCTTATTTATTCAATGTGAGTTAGTATTAAAATCAGGTAACTGGCAAAACAGGACAAAAGGCAGTTAAAAGCAGGGAGAGAGATATAAACAGGAAAGCGAGAAAAGGTCAGGTGATTTAATAAAGACAATCTATATATCTTTATCTAAATGCACCAAACTTTCCAGGGTTGCTGGAAACGGTTCTGTTGCTAATTAGCATGGCTGGTTCCAAGGGAGCTTTAACTCCTTTAGGTACATCATGGAGCAGAATAAAAATGAAAGAAGGACACCAGGTGATCTTTTCTCTATTCTTCTCCATGAAGGAAAAACTTAGGAAGCTATAGCCAACATCCTTATCAGCTCCATGTACTGAATTATGCACTCTAAAGGGTGGTACCACCATTCATCATTTCATGCTTTGAGTCCCAATGGTTCTTTCAGCCTGACAAAGTGGTCTCTTGGCAGTGGCTTGGTAAGTATATTTGCCACCTTGTCATCAGTTGGGCAGTACTTCAATTTTTATTATTTCTTTTGCTTTTGAGTCAGTCTTGATTCCTGGCACCTGCAGTTTTGTTGGCAAGATTTCAGAAGTGGTTTGCCATTGCCTGCTTTGTAGGGCTGAGAAAGCATTGGCCACCCAGTTGGCTTTGTGTCTAAGGCAGGACTAGAACTCATGGTCTCCCAGTTTCTAGCCTGGTGATTTAACCACAATACCAAACTGCCTCACACTTCAGTGTTATCTGCCTCTTTTCTTGTATGTCCTTCACACTGCAGTTCAGTAGCTACGTGTCTCATATTGGGTCTGGACAGCTTGATATCTGCATTTCTTAAAGCTAGATTTTCCACGAACATGTGTTGTTTTAAAACCCACTTATAAAAACACACTTTTTTGTCACTTTAGTAGCTCTGTTAGAATCCATTTTTGTTTTAGTGCAAGCATTCAATTGTTTTCCATGAGTTGTGATCACGTACACCCCTTGTCCAATTGTGCAGCACATTCTACCAGAATTTAGGATTCCTTTGTAAAATTTCTGAGATCTTTATAATTCTAATTCTAGGTGTCAGCAGCCCTTCAGAAAAATGTTACTACAGGTAGTCCTCATTTTGTGACCACAAATAGGATATGCTGCACCATTGCTAAGCATCACAGTTGTTACGTGAAACATCACATGATGATAGACTAATGACCTGACTTCCGCTGTGTCACTAAGTGAATTACTCAGACTCATTAAATGAGACATCATATAACTGCAACTTATGATTTTACTTCCATGTTTTCCATTATCTCTGCTTGTACAAGTTGTTTGGGAAACACACAACTGGCAATCTTGTGACCATAGGATGCTGAGACAGTTGTAAATAAATGCCTGCTAGTTGAGAAGCACCTGAATGTTGATCACATGACCCTGGTAATGTTGCACAGGTCTTAAACGCAAGGACAAATCCTAAAGTTACTTTTTCAGGGCTGTCCTGACTTCAAATGGATACTAAATGAGACAGACAGTCTCATTTAGTATCCATAAGATTATCTGGGACACACTACACATCCTCTTCACGACCTGTTTTCCTTGTTATCTTCTGGGAGGCGGCTTCGTGGTATCCGTAGCAGAACATCCAGATTCAGCCATAGTTTCATTCCATATAGCATTAACCTTGTGAACTCTCAAGCTTCCTCCTTCTGTTATATATTCAAGATGGACAGTATTTAATATTTATTTGCTACGTATATGTAGGGGTGTGGGTCTATACATATGTTGTTCATAGTATGTTTAGGTTATGTCATGTATGTGTTTCACTTTGAGAGCGGGCAACTAAATTTCATTTTTGATGTGTGCCGTTGTGCCCACAGTAAAAAAATGACAATAATGGTGCTCCAGATGTTGATGTTTTTTTCCCTTTTTGCTTCCTGGGTAGATTCTGAGTTCCATACATCAAACTAGATTGGCTTGCATTAGTATTTACAGACTGCGAGTCATTTGGGGATACCCATTTTTCTTCATTAAAATGAGAAATGGATGTGTTTACGTTTCCAGTTTTTAAGTCCAAAATCTGTAATCTTTTGTTCTTATGTGATAGCCAGTGCTATTTCTAACTGGCTTCTGTAATTTATTCCTTTTTTTTCCTCTAAGGATGAATGCCTACGCTTGGCAACTAAATACCATGATTATTACAATGCTTGCTCAAGGAGTAACTGTGTTGATTTGAGTTCTTGAAATTTTGCTGTCAAGTGCTTACAGAACTTCATTACAATTCTAGTAGCACTTGATATATAGCTATTCAGTATAGAGCCCCAGTTGAGCAGCCCTTATTTTTAGCCACACTGAATTCACTGGTTACTGAATTATAATAAAAAAATAATGTCTTCTATTTCTTCTAGCTATATTTCCTGTCTTCTTTGACTGTTGCACAGAAGTAGCCAATCACATCCCCAGAAGATGGTTAAGAAGAGTGGTGAAATTTGAGATCCAAAAGAGTGATGATTTATGCAGAATACCGGCTGTGATGTAAGTGAAACACAATACACACAATTATACACCACATATACATGTACATGCATACCCAACAACAGGATATTCCAACAAAATTGATATCCATGAGACTTCATCAAAAAGTGCCTGACCACTCAATCCAATATAGCACAACCAACACAAGCTGTAAAAAAGATAACACTACCATACATCATAAATATTTCAGAAACCACCAATAGACTATTGCAACCCTGTAGCATCAGTGTAGTACACAAACCAACTAAAGCCCTCTAAAACTTTCTGAGTTAACCAAAAGTCCCAGCAGCTTAGAAGAAAAAACAGGAGCTACCTATAACATACAGTGTAAAGGCTGCAACAGCACTACATAGGACAAACAGGCAGAAGATTAGGAGAATATATCCACAACTAACAGTCATAAGACATGATAAAATCTCTTGAGTTTCACAACACATGGACAGACTTAGCTATAGTTTCAACTGGGAAACTGTGACCATCCTAAACCAAGCCAAGTCCAAAAAGCTGGAGAATTCCTGGAAATAATTAACAACAACAACAGCAACAATAATAATAATAAAGTTGGAAGGGACCTTGGAGGTCATCTAGTCTGACCCCCTGTGCAGGCAGGAAACCCTATACCATTTCAGACAAATGGCTGTCCAGTCTCTGCTTAAAAAATTCCAGTGTTGGAACATTCACAACTTCTGGAAGCAGGTTGTTCCACTGATTAATTTTAACTTAGGTCTGGCACCTTGACAAATCATCCATCGATAAGCACATAGACATAAACCATATCTATATACCATTCAAAAGAGACAATCTACAAGCCAAAAAGGGAACAAAAAGACGAAAACACTTGCCACCAGCAATCAGTACCCAGATGAGCATAGATTGACTCCAAGATTAACATCAGACCAACAATCAAAAAGTAAACAATACCCCAATCAAGGATCTGCCAAACAAGCTAACCTAAACAGCCCAACCAAAGAACCACCAAGACCACTCCCACCAATAGGGCTAGGCTAGCCACTGGAATATAAATCGAGAGCAAACCACACTCTTTACTAGCACTGATGATATTATCTAGTTTGGTAATGAGACGTCTGCAAGGAAATAACCAAGCTCAGAAAGCACCAAGGACCTTTGTGCTTACTACCAAGCATTAACTTTGCTTTCTTTTGCCACAGTCATTATCCTTCTACATTTTTTTTTTGTATTTTGAGACTTTCTCCAGTTCTCTTTCTTCTTTTCTGCTCTTCCCAAGTACTGTGACATCCAATGTCCACACATTTTTGTCCTTTTTATGCATGATTGTTAAATCTGGGTATTATGTGGCAAATGCTTGTCTCTTTGAATTCTAAACTCACTCTAGATTCTTTATTGTCTCTTACTTTGTCTATTTTATGGTCTCTTGACTGCAGACAAATTATATTCTTTGCAGATATTGTTATTAATTCTTTTTAAAATCTTTTTTTTCTCATCCTCATAGTCTTCACACCAGGCGCAAAAAGCTATGTGTAAGTCCATTGAATAAAAATGTGAAGAGATGGATGAAGCAAATGACCAGGTGTTGCCAGAGAAGTGATCCAGAGATCTGGAAAAGAAGAAAACTCAGAAGAGGGAGGAAAACTATGAGGAAAGATCATATATTTGCTATGTGCAAGAAAGATGCTGCAATCTGCACCATGCAATAAATACGATAAAAGTCTCAGAATAATGGATCCCATAAACATTTTAACTTGTCTTTCATTTAAAACTCCTTCCTGAAAAGACTACCACAGCTGAATGTTTGCAGGTAATGGCCAAGTCCACAAATCATAAAATTGTTCTTAATTGCACATTCTGTTTAAGTCATGACCTGTGATTGACAAAGCACATTTTGTAGGGTCATATAAGATACTAACCATCATACGATCATTGATTTTGGTTTATACAGGTGGTCCTCAACTTACAACCATTCATTTAGTGGCACTTCAAAGTTACAATGGCACTAAAAAAATGATTTACGATTGTTGCAACCTGAATTAAAGTAACTAGAAGAATAAATTGTATAGACAAGGCAGGAGCCCTACAAATACATCAAACACATTAACCCGGAATCAGGGAACAGAGCCCGGGGATAAGGACTTCTTGGACCCACAAGACAGAGAGTGGGTATCATCCTTAACTCTGGGGGTAGGATGATATTCTAGAGCAGGCATGTCAAACTCACGATGTCACGTGACGTTGCGTGACGTATCGTGACTTTTTCCCCATTGCCGGCAATTGGGTGGGCGCGGTTTTGGCATGATGCATCCGGCCTGCAGGCTGGCAGTTTGACATGCCCATTCTAGAGCGTGTGGCTGAGACAGAGAAGGCAGACTTCCTAGGCCCCATATAATGGCAGTGCTTAATAGACTGGATCTGAAACGTCCCCACTCTAGCCAAATATAGCAGACAAGCAGAAACAAAGGGGGATAGGCACTCAGATAACTAGGCTCTATGCCAGGGATGTCAAACTGCCGGCCCAAGGGCCGGTTTCATCATACTGGATCCGTGCCCACCCCATTGCCGGCAATGGCAAAAAAACTCCGATACGTTGCACGATGTCACGTGATGTCGCGAGTTTAACGTGCCTGCTCTATGCCATGTTGCACACACATACACTTTTGCAATTGTAGTTGTCATACATGTGTTAAAAGATAACTCTTTTTAAAAATAAGTCCTCCACACATCTCCCCCTTACCACTGATTCCCTGTTTCCATGACACTCTTTCCCATGCTGCCACTATTAAAGGTACAGAAATAAAAATTGCTATCACTATCTATTAATCCCTGGGAGATATTAACCTTGGTTAGGGATTCAATCCCAAAGGGCCAAGTCTAAGGTGGGGAGAACTTTGTCTTCTTTCTTCTTTGCTTCCCTCATCTTCCCCACCTGTATTCAGTCTGTAAGCCCTATGGCCATGGGGATGCCTCATTCCCCAGTAGGAAAGGGAGCAGGTGAGCAAAGCAGAGAAATTCCTTGTTTTCATCACACGTTCACTTTATGTGCAAAGCATCCTGTCTTCCCCCAGTCCCTCTGAGCAGTTATATCAATTCCCATCCTCAGTGCTCCAGCCCTGCTTTGCTCCTAGCATCTGTTTCTGCTCACTGTATGCATCATCTCCATTTCCCAATTGTTCCCTTTAAGATCAAGAATATAAGAAAGATCACTCAGCATCTGACTTTCCACCACTAATCTGCTGCTGTTATATAGTTACGTTGCATAAAAGGGTTAAAACTGAAGATGACTCCCTCTGGAACACTTCATGATTATTGTTTCCAGAGGCTTAGGAACGTTTTGTCTCCTTTTGATATAAATAATATGAATTATTTCTTATTTATCTGTCTCTATTTTCCTGCTTTTGTCTACCTTTTAAAGCATTTTCCAGTTCACTGCTATTTTAGGACTGGGAACAAGTAAACATAAAGCTATATTTTTTGCTGGCTGTTTTGAATGGTGTGTGCACTTGCTCTGATCTGTATATAGGCTGGGAGCATGTTGGGTATAAACAACACTGGAAAGTAGAGACAGTAATGTTCCAATCCAACTTAGAGCAATTGTAGAATAAATTAGTTTATGATGCTGCTTAAATAAAGGTAGCCAGGCTGTGCTGAGTCTCTCAGTGACAAATGGCAGAGACGTTTAGGCCATAAACAAAAATATATTCTATCAACAACAGAGCCAGTTTGGTCTAGTGCAGGGGTAGGCAACCTCGGCTCTTTTATGACTCATGGACTTCAACTCCCAGAATCCCTGAGTCAGCTAAAGAGCCGAAGTTGTCTACCCCTGGTCTAGTGGTTAAGTCACCAGGCTAGAAAGCAGGAGAACATGAGTTCTAGTCTCACCTTCGCCATGAAAGCCACAGGGTGACCTTGAGCCAGTCACTCTCTCTCAGCCTAACCCACCTCACAGTGTTGTCATTGTATGGAAAATAGAAAGAGGAAGATGTGTTGGGTATGTTTGCCACCTTGAAATATTTGTAAAAATAATAAAGGCTACTAATAAAATAATAAAAGATACTAATAAATAAATCTCAATCTGAGTACATACACCACAGCCTAAGATGGTACTTTATACATAATTCATTCTAATGCAATATATTAGTAAAAGGCGTGGAAAATATTCAATGCCACTGAATATTCCATGTTTCCTTTATTCACTGTATGTAACAAAAGTAAAACTGTAGCACACAAGCTAAACCAGCTGCATTTTACAAAAGCTTTATCATGCAATGACTGTCATAATCTTCTTCTTTAATCATATATCTCATTCCCAACACAGGCTGAACAGCCTTTTTGGAATTTCATAAACCATGAGAAAAGTATTATTTTCCTCCTGAAAACAAGATTATCTCACCACCATTTCAGATCTATAATATTTTGCCATTATTATCTTTGGGGTGTGGCTAGAATTTATATGACCCAAGATGGGTTTGAGCATCTGGCGAGATTGAGATTATGCTCCCTCCCTCTGATCATTAGCCAATTCTAGCACAGCCATTTCTCTTGCAGTATTTGTCCCCTCTGTCAATGTTTTGTTTCCTGAATTCCTCTCATATCAATCATCTCCTCCCCTAGCTATTTTTGAAATCAATTTTTCTCCAGGCTTTAAGCCAGATAAGGAGGGGAAAGCAGATTTAGACTGTTTTATATGATAGGGGGCAGTGGTTTATTTTCTAATTTGTATTTGTAAAATTCTAAAATGGTAACAATGGAAAAAATTTGTTCCTTTTACTGCAGTTGCAAGATAGCTTTTCCTTGCTGCCTGAAACTAATGAGAGACATAATACTGGGTGCTATTATTTATCAATCACAGCCACTTCCCTACTCGTGATTAGGTCCGAAGTTGCCTCAATGGCTAGAGGCTTGGTTTTATCAGTGTACAGACCTAGCTGATATATGATCATGTCCAGGTCTGTCTTCTTTCTCTCTAGAGGTGATTCTGCCTTGATGTGTCTTTTTGTGTTTGTCTATATTGTCCACATTATAGTCTTTCAAATATTGCTTAATTATGAAAACAGTCTTGTAGGTGCATATTTATGATTGGAAACTACTTTCCCATATGTTTATTTTCCATCATTTTGAATTTGTGGGATGATTAGATGGGGTGTGTGAAGTGACACAAGGGAAAATATTCTTGAGAAGTTCAGGAAAAGTTCCAAAACTGTACAATTGCATAATAACACCAGTCCCATCTCATTCATACTGCAGGAACTCTCCTACCTAATGTGTCTCCACTGACTTGTGACATGCTAAAGAGAGATAACAGCAAAGCCCACACAGAGAACCAATCACATTGCTTATAACCAGTGACACCAGTAATTCCTGGTGACTGCTGGACAAGTCCCTGCAATTTTTCTGGAAAAACAGAAGCGATTTCCCTTTGTCTGCTTCCTAGGGCTGAACGATTGTGACTGGTCCAAAGTCACCCAGCTGGTTTCATGCCTAAGGCAAGACTATAACTCACAGTCTTCTTGTTTCTAGCCTGGTGCTTTAACCACTCCATCAACTTGGCTTTAACTACATATTGTGGAAATTCAAATCCAACACATGAAGTTGGGGAATATTTATTTATTATTTTTATTTATTTTATGAGACTTACATACCGCTTTAAGTGCAAGCACTCTCTAAGCAGTGTGCACCAGTAAGCAATGTATACATATATTTTACATTGCCCCCAACAATCTGGGTCCAACTTTAGTCCAACTTTCTGACTTCAAAAGTAGCTAGTGATGTGCTTTGTGAATATCAGCAGAGGCAAGGAGTTCAAAGCTCTTTCACAAAAAGGTGTAAGACTGTCTGATTTGCAAAACTAAAAACAACACGTCTGAAATGCCACTGAAAAAGATTTGCCCCATGAAACAGCTTTCAGTATGCTAAACTACTGTAGTCAGGCCAAACAAACAGGCAGAAATAAAATAAAAATTGAATTTTTAATTAAAGAGATTTAAGCTTGGGGAGCTGTAAAAAATTATTTCCTGGTAACTCCACAGTTTATCAATGAGCCTGTGTGATGCATCCAATCTGTTGAGATGTTACATTGGCTAGCTCTCTGGCAGCTTTTCTTCTGTAATAAGAGATTTAGTGAGAAAAATGGAGATGGACAGCTGTGTAGTTCTCTGAAGGAATTTGTGATGCTAAAATGATAAGTGGAAAAGATGAGATAAATTTATTATCAAGGTTTACTCTGTTTAGATAGAAAAATATAATGCAAAGATCCCGTACACCTCAAGATGCAAATACTGATTTAAGGTAGCAGATATAAAACTAAAATCTACATCTATACAAGTACATTATTGTACATTGTTCCAGCAACTACATGAAATTTCATGACTTTCTTAAAAGCTGCAGAATTGCAGTCGGGCAGAGGAAAAGCTAAATAAAATTAAACTATTCTATCAAGCCAATATGATGTATATAAATGATGGAGGACATATTTACAGTAGTGTAAGGGCAATGCAAATACATGTGCCACACAAACACATTCTATTTCACCCATTTTTATTTGGACAAAAGTGCTGCCAGAGAGTGATGTTACAGAATCTTTCTTTCAACAAAGGCAAAACTAATTGAAACTGTTCTTTGTTTGTTCATTCATAGAAACTCATAGAGATAAAAAAACAGAAACAGATCTTGTCTCAAACATCCACCCCATTATAAGGCGTGGGTTGTTTCAGTCTAGTTTACAGGAACTGGTTGTCAAACCAACTAGCTGATACAAAGCTGGCTGACTCCCCTGGAGAAATGGGCACTTGCCTAGTACACAGGGTGAATCCTAATGATAATTTACAGCAGATGGCGTCAGCCTTTGTACCATGCTTGCTCCTCTGGGCCTGTCAGCACGGGCTTCTCTGGAGCAGCCATACTCTGGGTGAGGGAGAGCTCAGGTTGCTGTTCAGTTGGCTTTGCGTCTTAAGCAGCTACAAACACAAATAGTAGTTGGAAGTGGGAGCTGTGCTTGCAATGGCCCTGTGTGGCCTGCAGAGGTGCGGTAGGCCACTCTGGGCCCAATGTTTTCTTCAGGAGATATCAAGAAGAGAATGCAAAACCATAACGCTTAGTTTTTGATCCGCATGCTTTCCCATGCAGAATAAAAGCTATCCTATACAACTAAAGGTTCAAACCATAATATATGGATCCAGACTCTTTTCTTTGTTAGATACTAGCTTCTAAAATGCAATTCTGGATTTTATGCACATGACTTAGAACAGGGCTTTTCAACCTTTTCACCCATTGTACCACTTTTAGGATATGGCAATATCCGAGTACCACCAGTCGCCTACTAAGGTGTCAAAAATTTGATGATCCCAAAAAAAAAGAAAAGAAAAAAAGTGATAAAATACAGGTGGTCCTCGACTTACAACAGTTTGCTTA